AAACACAAAAATCAGGCAAATATTGTTGAACATATGCCATAAGGAGATAAGCGCAAAAAAAAAAAAAACATACTGGCTGGTTGGCATTGGCTGTTGTCGCTAACTAGCATATTTTGATACAAAAGTGACACAGAGTGAACTTATTTTGCTGCCTGCCAAGTGTTGTTTTCAGTCACCTCTTCTCTGCAAGTTCTTGTGTGCAACAAAATCCAATATGTCCTCATCACAGCAGGAGCAGCGGTCTTCAAGAAGACTGCAAACCGAAATGACCGCAAACACCTTTCAACAACAGCAAAGAGCCTCATTGTGACTTGCGAAAGACCGTCTGTCCCTGATGTCAGGCTCAATACAGCCAATATAATCACATTTCAAAACTTCTCCTATTTGATGGACGTATCAGTCCTCCTTCTGGATTTGCCATTGGTCTTATTTGACATCAAATGATTGAAACGAATCGGCGTGTGCAATCACATCCTTGGTCTTCAAGTCAAAGAATGTTTTGTAATGGTCTTGATATGATGTGTGTGCTGCTACTAATGTTCTCTGTGTTGCTGTAAAACTGGATTTCCCCCCCACTGCTGGAGCAATACAAGCTAATCCTTATATCCAATAGAATATTCGATCTGTCTTGGGAAAACTAAGAAAGGCCCACTTATATGCATTGTTGCTTGGCAACATGGTGCATACATGGTGTATAACTATGCTTTTTTTTTTTTAACATGCTTACAGTATTGGACGCACATCCACAAATATACATCCAGAGGGTTAGGGTTATCCTAGCATACCCTCACCCTAACCCCGAGGCCTTTAAAGCAGAATACAAGTATTGCCCCCACAGCCAATGATATCTTTTCTCCAACCAAAGCTCGATGTTCATTTGGCCCACCATTAAAACGAGCAAATGTAAAAATCTGCCAGCGTGGCACCATTGTGGGATAGATTTGACATTGACTGCAGTTGAGGTTTGGCAAATTGGGAAGGAACATCGAAAAATAACAAATGGTCTTGAAGATTGCAATCACGCACGCAGACATTTCTATCAGTAATAAGTGCTGTTTTATGTCCTTCAGTAGCCGCGCGCGGCCGACTCGCTTCTCCAGCCCAAGAGTCATTTATGTCTGGAGCTAAGCTCTTTCCCATCATAATCACTTGTCATCTTGTTTAATCCACTTTTTATTCTTCCCCTCATCTGTTTTATTGCTTTTCAGCTCCCTGCTCCGTTCTATCCCTCGCTTGCTCTCGACTTACCATCGCCGAGGTGAAATTTCGTGAAAACTAAAGAACGTGCAGCCACCCACACAATATCCAAGTCAGTGTAGATTTCTCATTATTGGAGAGTTTGTGAATATTGCCTGCTGGTGACCCTGACCTTATCATGAAACCTGCTCACAGCTGTATGACAGGATGATCACCATGGCAACCCTGAAAAAGCCTAGAGTTTGAATTGAATCTCTTCTTACTTTGCCACCCCCCCCCCTCCCCACCCGTTGCCCTGGGTTGCCAGGAAACAGGTCCTCCTTAAAGTCATGCGGGGGTGGGTGGTCGACAAGTGTTGATATGGAGGCTGTCCGCCTTATACTGTACATTCAGTTTAGTTTGATATCATGAATATGTTGTAGCCATTTTCAGCGTGATTGCATCAAAAACGGAAAGTTATGATGCAATATGTTACGATCCACGGCTTATTAGTGGATGAGGAAAACACTGATTTGGACACTGCTGTTTTACATGACGTTGAAAATATTAAAATAAAAAATTAACTTGACTGTTCATAATCGCACGCCATTCATTCACGTGTACTTTGCTTGATAAAATGATGGTGGCACGCCGACAGTGGACTAAACAGCAGTCCAAAATAAATCCATATACCGAATATTATCTACTGCTCTTTCCCCTGCTTCCTACTTGAGCGCGTTAATGATGAGTGCATCAATCACACTTGGGCCATAAGATGCGACTCACGTGACAGAATATACGTAAAAGCGTGCACACAAACAACGTCACAACAGCAGTGATGACGCACAACCAATACTCATAAGTCACCAAAATAACAATTAAGTGCTCCCCACTGAGTTTACTGGCGTGTCAATAGAGAGACCGAAACAGAATGAATGGACATGGGGATGGTGGTGGGTTGTTGCTGGACCAGCGTGTTTGATTTTAAAATGCTTTTACAATGGAGTGGCCTGACAAAATGGCACAATCCAGTTTTTCAGATCCATGCTATTATTATTTTGCTCCAATTATAGATATAATTGAGTGAGAGAGAGAGAGAGAGAGAGAGAGAGAATTTTTATTTATTTATCACATAGGTACATGAGCATGCTGCGTGCTCGAGGGCCCATATATTATGCATTAGCAACATATGAAAAGGTTCCACTTGAAGGCGACAGCACTATGAAGGCATGACATGGTTCTCTTCAAATGCTTCCAGCTTTTCACCGAGGCATTCAATTCATGGTCATCTAAATTCTGTCTGACTTTTTCCGTATGTCAGGATTGTGCAGTACCTTGTCTTAGTCATATGACGAGCGCAACCACTTTTGTACTTTCCATTAAATATTCGTCACCACACCATAAAATGTACAAGAAACGTGTGGCGATTTGTACATAACTGTGCTGTTGTTAATTCTATTCATTGCGCACTATTGCTGTAGTATGGATAACTGTGAACATTTGAGTTGAGAATGAGGTCAAATTGCCGTGCTCTTTTTCATCTCTCCTCGTGTTTCGTTGTCAGATTCTTTTTTAAAAAAAAAAAAAAGGAGGCCGCTCAGAGAAAAAAGTGCCGTTTTATAAGCGCTTCTCGACTGGAAACCTGTTCATGTTTGTAAACACTACTTTCTAACCTAGTTCACGGTTACTATGGTTACCCAGGCTGAGCGGAGTGTCCTTCTATGAGCCGGTAAGAAGCACCTCAAACATGTCAGAATGCAAATGGAGTTTGGCGATTGTACGCACAGGTCACGATCAATGCAGCACAAGAAGTGGGTATGACACCGCAAGTCATTCGTATGCCTGGATGTGTACATACAGGCCGCTTTCAACAATTCCATCCATCCATTGTTTTAGCCACTTATGTTCAGACTCAATCGGCACTGGAGCACTTTCACAGCCGACGGCGAAGTCATTCGTATGCCTGGATGTGTACATACAGGCCTCCTTCCATCCATCCATTGTTTTAGCCACTTATGGTCAGACTCAATCGGCACTGGAGCACTTTCACAGCTGATGGCAGACAAAAGGCAAGGCTACACTCCGTGGACAGTTCTCCGCTCACTTCCAAGGCACAAACAAAGAAAAACATCCAATCGCGTTCACATTCACGTCATCACCGAGTGACATTTCGTCAAAGCTGCCTGAACGCGCTAATGAACCACGACACCATCAAAATACGTTGTGAAAACAAATTTGCACTTGGAGTCAACACCAGCAAGCAAACAGGTCATCATGAGGTCATCCATTGTCAAACTTTGTAGTAAAGACACCCGTACAAGGATTTCCCTGAATGAAGGGTTAAGGCAAGAGAAGGCCAGGTCGCTTTATCTTTCCAGCTCATTTCTCCAAAATTCTGCTACGAATTCAAATGAACTACGAATACAAATAAATATACGCCGATTGAGATGATGGTCAACATCTCATTCTTGCATAATGTATTGCCATGGCAACAGAAGGGTATTGTTACAGAATAGATACCATTAGTTATTCATGTATGGATATATTTGGCTTTGTATAATTCATTTTCGCACGGCGGTTCAGGGTTTGCGCCGATTTAAAAAACTAAGTTCAAGTATATTTTGATATTTTCAAAAGCAGTGATATGGGTGGGTTCCACATAGGTAGCTAAATGCATGTCGGACTTTGGAAATTAAGCATGGACAGTCGCTACTCTCGGGAACCCGTTCACACAGATGGTGTCAAGTCTTTGAATGGCTTTGGTGCAACGGAGCTCCTGCTGAGACTCGGAGTAATTAGCGCAACTTCGGCGCAGAAGGAGAATTCATTGGAGAATTATGAAGCATCGAGCACACCGTTCACTGGGAGAAAAACAACTTCCGATGTTGGTAAATGTCAGGAAGTTACATCATCAGTTATTAAAACATGCGCCGATAATGTCAACATATGCATGTCAAATCTCTCAATCATAAGACACCCGGGAACTGTTTTTAAAGAAGTGTGATGAGATCTCATTTTGCCAAACCCGAAATGTGATCAAAATAGGGCCTTTTGTCTTCCCTGGTTTTTAACAGGAATCATTTACGATGATCTGTCTTTCCTTTTTTGACATTTGGTGACATCGTCCCCTGGATGGTAAGAGCGCAAATCCCCCACCAGGGCTTGAAAATGTCATGTTGTCACTTTGTAAACATACCGTATGCTGTATTCTTAGATTCCTCACATTTTGCATCAGCTCGGTTCTCGACGGTTATAACTCGGTTCTCGACGAATCCCATTCATTTGCAACATGTAACAAAGTTCTGTACCACTCCCCGTTTTGTGGCTTTTAACATAAGGTGAAGTGTCCGATACTTAAACATACAAAAGCCCATTCGAATTCAAGGTGGGACATTGCGTAAAATGGAAATAAAAACAGAATACACAATATAGTAGCAAATCCTTTTAAAACTATATTCCCCTGAATGCAATACAGAGACGGGATATTTTACGTTCAACTAATAATTTTAGAAATAATTTTGCTCTTTGGTCACATCCGTGTCTTCCAAAAACAAATTGAAATGCGCGTTAAACGGTGGCAGGTCCTTGGGTCAGTCAGTACTTTGAAGGAGGCGGGGGGGAAAAAGTAAGTGCCACAGAGGTCTGCCAAAAATAGCACTATGAGGAGAATACGAATTATACCACATTGTGCAATTTAATCACGGTTGTGCATTCCCAAGAAAATATTTGTCAGTGGTGTTGCCGCGCGTAAAACGCGCGCTCCGGGTAGGTGGAGTTTGGGGGGGGCACCATTTGTGGAGAGGCAGGACACGACACATCCACAGGTCGTTGCGCGCTTCTCCGAGCTACAAGACGCGCCAGATGTGGCAAATGCAAGAAGCAGCTTTCGAGGACGCTTTGGGCTTCTCTTCCGCGCGCGTCTTTCATTGACGGGGGAGCGCGCGTCCCGTTTGAGAGCATCATGACCGAAGCCCCTCACCTCCGCTGCACGGCGAGGACGACGACGGCAACATAATGGCCATTAGGAGCGCTTGCTGCTGCGGTCCAATTAACGAAGATAATGCGAGATTCCTGCTGCTGGCCTTGTTTATCGTCCTCTATATGCTGTGCGGAGCGGCCGTTTTCTCCGCCCTGGAGCAGCCCAAGGAGCGGGAGGCCAAGGAGCGATGGGCGCAGAGGTTCGAGCTCTTCAGGCAGACTTACAATCTGAGTAAGAAGGAGCTCAACGGTTTCCTCGAGAACTACGAGGAAGCCAACGCGGCGGGGATTCGAGTGGACAACATCAGACCACGATGGGACTTCACTGGGGCTTTCTACTTTGTGGGAACTGTGGTTTCCACCATTGGAGAGTGCCAAATATACAATTTCCCCCCCCCCCCCCAAAAAAAAAATATATAACAGTTATTTAAATACAAAAAAATATAATAAATCACTGCATCACTGATCATGTGTCCTGTCCCTGCAGCTGGAGGTTTAAGAGATGTGAAGTTACAAAATGTCAGCCAGAAACACCAACTGACATTTCCATCTTTGTTAATGTATTTATTTGTTTGTTTTGGGGTTTTTTGGGGGGAGCTGGGGGGATTTCTCCCTTTGCCACTGCACCTGTGTTTGATAATGCATGCATTTAAAGTCTAAATCTATGCTCCACGTCAACTACACTGGCCGCTGTTTCATCTGTCGAAAAGTCAGAGCCAAAGAGCTCTTCGTCACGTATCTCAAAGAGTGTCAGGACAAAGGTTACCGCATCAGGCGGGGGCGATCCCAGTTCAGTTCTTTTATTGCGCGGTAAAACTTGAGCACCACACTGGAGGCGAATGGAGGATGGAGTTGGCGCATGAGCTCCGGACATCAGGCAGTTTGAAAATCCTCAGCTTCGATACAAATCTACACGAAGCCCAAGAGTGTGCATAGATTGTTGTCGTGGAGCAGGGCCGTGGGACATTCTAACCCTTTACACGGAGAGTCGGTCGAGGCTGTCTTGGTCCCTCGGTAAGCGAGATTTGACAGTTCACAAAGAGATAATGCGGCTTACACCGGCTTAGTGTGAATTTTATATCGGATTTCCAAGTCGCTCTCATTAAGAGCAGCAGACAGGTACATGTGGAATAAGGAGAATATACATCATTCAAGATGTATAGGAATACAGTTCACTCACGCAAGCACAAAGGGGGGGGGGACATGTAAACTCCACGCAAGTAGCATGAGCTTTAGCCTGCAAAAATGGAAAAAAATGGGTGTGAGGAAAGATTTCTCACCAGGCATGTGCACCATAAATCTGTCACGCTTGTAAGAATGTTCTGCTAAGTGCTATTCCAACGTTGATCATCGTGTTTTGTAATGAATTCATCTCAACAGGTTGTGTGGTGAACTTTCTGGCACGTCACTTTTAATGACAGCATTGATGGATATTGAGGGCCATTTCAAGTGAAATTTCAAACGGGCACATTTTAATATGTAGCGTACATCATTTCCATGTTGTCTGTCATTTTTTTTCTCTCTCTCTCTCTGTCTCTCTTTTCAATCACACGGTGTGGTATTGCTTGTTCCAGAAAACTGAAGAGGGAATACAGATGTTGAATAATTCATTGATAGCAGTACTTTTGTTGTTTTTTTTTTTTTTGTCCAAGGCTTTGGGATGACCACACCGGCCACAATCGGAGGCAAAGTCTTCCTGATGTTCTACGGCCTTCTCGGATGCGCGGCCACCATCCTCTTCTTCAACCTCTTCCTGGAGCGGGTCATCACCGTTATCGCCGTCGTCCTCAAGTCCTGCCACGAGCACCGCCATAACAAGGGGGAGGCGGGCCCCCAAAACGGTCGGGGGATCCGCGCAAACTTAAGCGGGAAAGGGGAGGATCTGGCCGGCTGGAAGCCTTCGGTCTACTGCGTCATGTTCATCCTCGGAGCGGCCGCCATTTTGGTGTCTTGCTGCGCTTCGCTCATGTACTCCGCAGTCGAGGGCTGGGGCTACCTGGACTCGCTCTACTTCTGCTTCGTGGCCTTCAGCACCATTGGCTTTGGAGATATGGTGAGCAGTCAGCGGCTCGTCTACGAGGGCAACGCCACGGCAGCGTACCAGCTGGGAAACTTCTTGTTCATCCTGACGGGCGTCTGCTGCATCTACTCCCTCTTCAACGTCATCTCCATTGTCATCAAGCAGGTCCTCAACTGGCTGCTGAGGAGACTTGAAAACCCCTGCCGATGTTGTTACTCCAGAAAGGGTCGCCAGGCGCGCCGGCACCCCCGTCGCAACGTGGTCGCCCCGGGCCACTTGCGAGCCCGCGGCGAACCTTCCATAGAGACAGATGCCATCAATGAGAGCGAGACGGAAGCCGGGCGCAGGATGTCTGGAGAGATGATCTCCATGAGAGACTTTCTCGCGGCAAATAAGGTCAGAGCATCCGTTTTCCATTTAAAATCATCTTTTCACTCCTATCCCAGAGTCATTTGATTGGGCCTAATTAATTGGCTGGCGACCAGCCCAGGGTTTACCTCGCCTCTCGCCCAAAGTCAGCTGGAATAGGCTCCAGCTCACCTGCGGCTCCAATGAGGACAAGCGCTGCGGAAAATTGAAGGATGGGTGTATTTATTGGTAATTCCCAAGGTTCCAGTCCTGAATAACTGGCAAGGAATGATTGGATATGATTTCAGTGTATGACGTGTCCATGTTGCATCTACGTGTACATGATCTTTCGGGCCGAACCATGCCCTAAACTTTGCCAAAAGTCCGCCATCAATACGTTAGTCATTCCCAGTGCATTGCAAACAACCAAACTGAACCGCTTGGACACCGGCCTGCCAATGGACATATTTGACCTATTTTAAATATCTTTCCATGTTGCTATGAATTTAATGTTGAGACATATCTCCGAATAATGGCGCTCCCTCCTCATTGTGATGACCTCTGGGAGCAACTCTCGCGGGACCTCGGTGGTGCCATCTGTCTTTATATTTACATAAGTGACACTACTTCTCAGACGAGAGGAGCACGTGGCGCACGCCGCTGGCGGTCTAATCAGTCTCCTGATGATACCGTGTACTGAAAGAGAGACTATGGATTCATTTTCATCGGAATCATTTGAATAATAAAGCCCGAGTGACAAGAGGAAGACAACAATATGAAGTTAAAGCAAATGTGTTGTATAACGGCAACCAATTGTTACATCAGACGCTCTGAAAATACAGTAGAGGGTGTTTGAAGGTTAGGCTACAATGAACTTAACGTTCATATTTGTCGAATGTGGAAGAAAGCTGAGCTGTCAATGGAAAAGACTCGCGCAAGCACAGGAAGAACACGGAAACGCCACATAACTGTAGGAAGGCCAAAAAAATATCAACACAGAGACGTGTGTAGTGCCTTTTTCAGCGTTATTGCTCAAATGAAAAGATGGATACTTTCAGTTGTTGATGCTTTGTCTTGTTTTGGCTTGTTGAGCTTTAATTGTCATTTTTCATTGACCGTAAGCAATTTTCTTTTCTGGTTGAAAAGTTAAATACGCTTCTCGGTAGGGGAGCTAATGAGCAAAACAAGAAAATCATTGTTCACTTTTATTTTAATCGGTGCTCTCATAACGTTGGTGCTAGTTGGCCAATTTCGTACAGTGGAGGTGATTTGATTTTTCAGTCACCTAATTAGCCGCGGTGTTCAGATGTATTATTTATTTTTTTGTTTTTTTTGGGGGGGGGGGATACTGTACTCGGGTTTTTTTCGAGACTCTTTGTCCAACACCCAATATGGAGACAAGACACCTCCTGACTGTTGAGCAATCACGCTTCAGTATGATACAATTGCAATTATGGATATAAGGCTGCATGTAAAAACCAACCCCATTTTTTTTAACATATAATGAACCATTATTAGCGTTTCTTGAAGAATGTTTTGGGTTTATTAAAATAAAGAAAAAGCAAGTGTTTGGGGTGAGGGGATTCATCATGGGACCACTCAGAGCGTGTCTGGGGGCCGCATGGCTGGTATCCAATGTGCAATTACCATCTTGGTAATTACACAGCAGAAATCTGACGGAGAAAACAAGGTTTTTAACTAACCTAAAGTAGCCGACCAAGATTTGATGCACAGAGTTAAAGGAGAGTGCTTTTGGTAACCTAGCAACAATATGGCCCAATTAGTCCTCTGCGAATGAAGATGTGTGGGCTGCCAGTGCCGTTGGGCTCCAACTATGTGCCAAGTAGACTCGCTGTATTCTACACGTACTCCTGTGATCTCCAAAAAAGAAGAAGGGTTGGTGTATGTGAGTAGGAGGGAAGTCGAGTGTTGCTTCTGTACCTGTCAGCCACACTTTGCTGTGATCTTTGTTCACGCAAATTAAAAGAGGCATGAAACAAAAGCGGATTCAGAAAAAGAACGGCTGCCAACAAATTCCGTTTGCGACTCTTTCTCATCCGCTTTCTTTCAACGTCTGCTGCAGGTCAACTTGGCAATCATGCAGAAGCAGCTTTCCGAGATGGCGCTAGGACACCCGCGCCAACCCGGCTCCACTTCACATCACAACGGCTTCTCCGGAGGAGTGGGGGCCCTTGGCATCATGAACAACCGACTGGCGGAAACGAGCGCGGACAGATAGGGAGGAATCAAGTCGATCCAGTGCAGACGAAACAGCGTGAGGATGAAAATAAAAATAAAAAAACTCTGCTTCCTCGGAGAGTTGAATACTGTGTATTTCCCGTTCAAATGTCTAGACTCAAACAATATGAATGATGCATGATCCTTTGCTGGAATCTGGGCCATGTTCACTGTGTTGCCATGTTCGTCCCTTGAGGAATTCAGTTTTCATGGCGATATAGAAGCCCGCCATGTTCCCTTGCAACTCAGCTTTAAGAGTCTTATGCCATAGGTGACTGTGGCCGACTTCCACTGCGCTTAAGTACGTTACAGTACACGCACTGTACGGTATCTCATATCCATTGCTGGGTACACTGTGTCACAACGATGGGGCGGAAACTGGCTTCAATAAAGTGGCTTTTTTTGCTGGGTTCTGTCTTTTATTGATGAAAAATCAAGGCGTACACGTACTGCAAAAGAAGTGTGTGTGTGTGTGTGTGTGTGTGTGTGTGTGTGTGTGTGCGCGCGCGCGTGCGCCATGGTTATTATACTGAACGAAAACTGAAATTAGAAGAGCATTTTTGTTCATGAAAGAAAATGAAAATCCTTTTAAAAATGAAATAAAATAATAATAAAAAATAACTGAAATTATATCTGACACGTAAGCATAACTATAAATATAGCAAAAAATGTCCTTTGTTTTCATCTTTGTGAATTAATTTCATACATCAAATTTCGTGATTTTTTTTTATTCGTGCATTTATTTCAGTTTTGCTGTACATCCATCGCTGCAGAAGAAGGAAGGTCGAACATTTGTTCACATTTGTTAAACTTAGATTTTCTTTTTGAGAAACAGGTCCTGCTTTTTACTTCGGTTTGAGACAACGATGTTCTTCACCCTACTGGAATTATGGTGATTTACTCTACCTGCGTCTGGAAAAAAAAACGCTGCACATTAAGATCATTAATGTAATGACATAATTAGAGTAATGAGGGTGGACTGTTATTATTAGGGGCACAGTTATTAAATTAGCATCCCTATTGAAGAGATGAAAGAGAGCCTGGTGGGTCTCATAAGAGTACGAGAGGAGCAATAATCATTGAGTATAATGAAAGGGAACATTATTAACACGAGCAAGATCGCATCCAAAGCATAAAAAAGTTATTTCAGTACTTTTTGCACAACTTGCTGTTCTCTAGTGTGCGAGCTGATAGAAAAATTCAAAATATTATATGTTTTTATTGCCATTGAGATATATGTGTGTGTGTGTGTGTGTGTGTGTGTGTGTGTGTGTGTGTGTGTGTGTGTGTGTGCGCGCGTGTGTCGTTTTTTTATACAATATATAATCTATATTGTATAATTTCAAACAAAACTAAATTACTTAAAATTGGAAGAAAATGCAAGCTAAATTACCAGTAGACATTTGACGGTCATTTTTAATGAATGGTTCAATACATATAAGTAAAGGATATACTGGATAAGAAATACTGTAGGAAAAAAATGGCATATGTGGCATATAATAAACACATTCCAAACACAGGGTGGCGGTAGTGTGCTGATCCGTGATATGACCGGCGACTGCGTGATGCAAGTGGTTCGACGATACCCGTGACGTCATCACAAAGCGACGAGAAACAATGGTAAGTGAGCAAGCAATTTTCGCTACCCCTCGAAAGGTTTATCAGTAAGATTTTAATAATTTATGTCGGATGAACACAAAACAATTTTACATTTTGTTTTATTAATTGCTGTCATTCGATGGTTAGTGTTTGTAATTTTCCACAAAAGAGCACCGCCTTTCACAACGATACTGCAACCTTTTAGCTGATGGCTGTTAGCCTTAGCTTATGCTTTTCTGTCATCTCGTCGATTCTCCAAGTGTCATTGAAAAACATCTAATTTAAAATAGTGACTTTTTATCCTTTGCACGAGTGGGATTCCCTGTCAGAGTATTTTTCTTCTTCAGGACGTGGACATTTATTTTGTGTAATAACGCAGCTATATGCGGGTTGTGGAGCCGACCTTAACAGACTCCGGCTCTGTAAAAGTTATTAGAACATGTACTACTTTCGTCGTATTATATCGCTGACACTTACGTCAAACAAAATGTGACTATTCAAGGGTCAAAGCCAGAGCGGTGGTCACGGTCCAGGGGGAGGCAAGAAGGATGACAAGGTAAGATTGGCAAAGCGCGTTTTTGCTCATGCTAACCTGTTAGAATATTTTTTAAATCAACATGCATGATCTACTCACGTTTTATGTCATGCTGTCCATGTATTTATTGTTATGTCCCTCGCCCACCACCTATCAATTACATTTGATTTCCAACAATTTTGTTGGCCTCATTCAAACTTGCGCTTGAACAATTATTTTTTTCAGGATAAGAAAAAGAAGTATGAGCCCCCGATTCCCACCAGAGTTGGCAAGAAAAAGAAGAAGACAAAAGGGCCAGATGCTGCCAGTAAACTACCGTTGGGTAAGTACATAAGATGAGCTCATGAAGAATTTATCAGATCAATAACCGTCCGCAACATACTTTGGAAAAGTAATCTCTTCGTTTATTTCTTCGTCAAACTGATGTTAATAAAGTCATTTTACTTGATGTTTTCAGTCACCCCTCACACTCAATGCCGCCTGAAGCTACTAAAGCAGGAGCGGATTAAGGACTACCTCCTCATGGAGGAGGAGTTCATCAGAAACCAGGAACAAATGAAACCCCTGGAAGAAAAACAAGAGGTCAGTCGTCCATATGAACATATTGGACAAATTAAATAAAATAGGGATTCATCAGTACGAGTAACTACTCTCTTATGCTCTGCTTCTAAGGTAAAGCACAAGTCACAGAGTGAAATTATTATTATTTTTTTTTGCGTCACAGGAGGAGAGGTCCAAGGTGGATGACCTGCGAGGGACCCCGATGTCTGTGGGCACTCTGGAAGAAATCATTGATGACAACCATGCCATTGTGTCCACGTCAGTTGGATCAGAGCATTACGTCAGCATCTTATCCTTCGTGGATAAAGATCTGCTGGAGCCAGGCTGCTCAGTCCTGCTAAACCATAAGGCAATAGTCATTTCTCGTCATGATCAATCTTGAGAAAAGTTTGGTATTCATCTCGTTTATCCTTCAGGTGCACGCTGTGATTGGGGTACTGATGGATGACACTGATCCTTTGGTTACTGTGATGAAAGTGGAAAAGGCCCCGCAAGAAACGTATGCAGACATTGGGGGACTGGACAATCAGATCCAAGAGATCAAGGTAAAAAAAAAAAAAAAAAGTTACGGTTAAAACTAAGTACATTGGAAGCTCGATTCACAAACAAATCTGGAATAAAGACTTCATTTTAGTGGAAAAAATTGCTTTGGATTGAGAACTGATCTCAATATGGCACCATACATATGGTCATATATTGATGATAAACCTAAAAAACATTCCCCCAGTATTGAGGCTGATTTTGTGGCTATGTTGTGATCTTCTAGGAGTCAGTGGAGCTGCCTCTCACACATCCAGAGTATTATGAGGAAATGGGTATAAAACCCCCCAAAGGTGTCATCCTGTATGGACCACCTGGCACGGGTGAGCATCTCTAGTAGAGACAATATACAGTCAGAAAAAGTACCACAAGAGAACTGAAGGAAGTTATTGTCTGCTACTATCATTCTTTGACTGCTTACGGGGACAATGCATATAAATAAACATCAGTACAGTATTCCCCTCCCCATACTCGTGAAACCGCTTACAAGTGGATTATTTTTTTTTTCGGAATATCTATCAACCCATTCTCTGGAACGCTTATCCTTTCAGCTGAATTTGGTTGTGAAGTCGGATACACTCTGAGAACTGGTTGCCAATTTTAGGGCACATATAAACCAAACAAACATTGCCACATTCACACAAATGGACAATTAAGAGTCTTTAAATAACTCACGATGCATGTTTTGGAATGTGGGAGGAAACCGGCGTGCTCGGGCGCATGGGGAGAACATGCAAATTCCACACTTGAAGGCTGGAGTCCAGATTTCAACCCACAACCTTCACTATGAGGATGTGCTCACCAGCTGCCCACGATGCCACCTTGCTGGAAAATATTATTGGGTCTCGTTACCGGTTTTGTCCTATTTCTTAAGCGAACCAAGAGGCCAAGCGAACCAAGAGGCCAACAGATGGCGGCAAAGCCCTGTTAAATCAAGAAGTGCTCTTTTCTTTTATATCGGGCTGTGGCGCCATCTTGCTGCTAAGGACGTAGCCGCAGAGCTATAAAATTCAAAAATGCTTAAAGACAAGACCCACTGAATTTTCGAAATGGCTTGTTTTAATATTTTGAGACCACAAACACTACACTTTTGGAATAGCTTTTTTTGGGGGGGCGTGGGGGGGGCTAAAATGGGGATGTCTCGCGCGATGCATTCTCGTAATCTGTGACTGCTTATTGAATGTTTAGAGAATACTTCCAACACGTAATCTTTGCTCACCAGGTAAGACACTCCTAGCCAAGGCCGTAGCTAATCAGACATCCGCCACCTTCTTGCGTGTGGTGGGCTCCGAGCTAATCCAGAAGTACCTGGGGGACGGGCCCAAGCTGGTTCGAGAGCTCTTCAGGGTGGCAGAAGAACACGCGCCCTCCATCGTTTTCATCGACGAGATTGACGCCATCGGAACTAAGAGGTGCAACGATTTTTTCCTATTGTAAGCAGGGCTTCAGACAGAATGGCGGCCATCTGACTTGTGTCACGCAGGTATGACTCCAACTCTGGAGGCGAGAGGGAGATCCAGAGGACCATGCTGGAGCTCCTCAACCAGCTGGATGGCTTCGACTCGCGGGGCGACGTCAAAGTTATCATGGCCACCAATCGGATAGAAACTCTGGATCCAGCCCTCATCAGACCTGGTCAGTATGATTCTGCTTGTCAAGAAATTATTTTATTTTATTTTTTTAAATTAAATCTAGTTCCATTTTTTTCTTCATCAATGCTTCTCGTGTTATTTTGTTACCTCCTCAGGGAGAATCGACCGAAAGATTGAGTTTCCCCTGCCTGACGAGAAGACCAAAAGGAGGATCTTCCAGATTCACACGAGCCGCATGACAGTTTCTGACGACGTCACCCTCGACGACCTCATTCTGGCAAAAGATGACTTATCGGGAGCAGACATTAAGGTACAATGCATGAACACTGCATTCGGAGAAGAATTTTCCGTTTCGACTGAGGAATTGATTTTCCCATTCTTCATGAATTGTTTGGCAAAAAAATTACTTTTTCATGCTTTTTGCAGGCCATCTGCACAGAGGCTGGCCTCATGGCACTGCGGGAACGCCGCATGAAAGTAACCAACGAAGACTTCAAGAAATCCAAGGAAAACGTCTTGTACAAGAAGCAGGAAGGCACACCTGAGGGGCTTTACCTCTAACCTCCAAACCTTTCAGTTTCTTCCCACACCACCTGCGTACATCATCACTGTGTGAAAGAGAGGGGGCATCAGCTGAGTTGTTCATTTCCACAGTGAAAATTTTGTTATATTTTGTGCATGTCATGTCTGGTTTAACCTGCTCTCTTGGTTCCATGTTTCAGAAATGAATAAAAAAAAAAACTGTTGAATACTGTATCGCTAATGTGGTGTTATTTTATCTACTATTTAAACCTCTTGTACATTAGACATGATTCGATTACTGTGCAACATTTATGTCAAATCTGGAGATGATATTTCAAGAATATAATTCGCAATGTTTCTTCCACACGTCACTGAAATTCCACCACCGATGTAAAAAAAAACGAAAATCTTGTCCCGATCGAGTGCTATGTAAAAAGAGCGGGGGGATGATAACATGAATTTTGATCAAGCTGTCAGCAAGTATCCAATACAAGTGCAGTCTGATTTGAATCTGCTGTCATATTTTAATCAGCTGTTAAATGATTACAGTGCGGAATAAGTAAATCCAGCTAAGCTGACGTCTGACAGTGTAACAGTAGAGCAAGTGATTTAATTCCTCCTGATGTGGAGCCACGTGGATCACTGTGCTCAGCAGAAAAAAAGTCCTATGCAGCAAGCATCTGAGAAGCACACGTCCTTCATAACACTTTAGTGTCTATTTAGTACTGTACATATTCAATACAATAGTTTGTGTGTCTCATTCTGCACTGTGGCCACTACGTGGCGCTTCAGAGTCAAATCCCACTGTGACAGACATGGCGTACAAATGTGTTGGGACATTAGGAACAATATGTCAACACTGTCTTACTACACTAGTGCCCACACCGCAGGAAATGAGAGGTAAAGTTGTTTAGTCATCACGCTGGATACGTCCCAGTGTAAGGAGAAACCCTGCAATGCCGAAACGAAAGCTGTCAATTTAACTTGGGCCTGACACACTTGTGGCAGCCAATAGTAAATCTGCACTCTCCCCATATCATATTCCGCGCACCAATGAAAAATAACTACGTTTTATATCTGTACTCATAATGTCAAGGGATCAGAAAATAGAGCGTTTGCGGAGCGCTGCTGAGCGGTACATTACTTTTCAACTTTTCTAAATTTATGTTTATTATATTCCTATCAAACGCCGCTGCCTGGTGCAATGCAGGTCCCGTGTGGCCAATGAGAGGAGCCGACACATGGAGTATAATATTGCGGGGCTCACGTAGCCAATCAGAAGCGACATCACAATGCCGGGTACCGCAAATTCTCCAGCTTCAACCGAAGCACTTCCAATGCGAGCGGGATCCTTGCGCGGAAGCAAAGTAGTACAGTACTTGTGTTAGGGAACTAAAGTTTGTCTTCAGTAAATAAAAATATCTCATCAAAAAATATATTGTTGATTTCTGAAATGTTTAAAGATACATTTTGATGAGAAATTGTGAGTTTATGTACTGTAATGTACACTTTGCCACTGTGCATCATTTCGGAGTTGTAGGTTAGTTTGCATGCAGTATTATTTTTTAACAGAAATTGCTGTGACGTTTTATAGAAATTACTTGTATTTTATCCGTCATTTAAAAAAATCCATTACCAGGAACACATTACAGACATTGAAGTTATATGGACAACATAAGCCAAGTGTTGGATTTTATCAAATGCGCCTTGCAACGATATTTATTTTCTGTGTTTTGTGAATTTCAAAAAAAGTCGAAATGTCCCATGATTATTCACCTTTACAATGATCAATTAAGTAAGAAAGAAAGACAGTTAGGCATCTTGCTTTCCAGTCACCAAGTTAACTATAGCACTGCTGAAATGCTTAGAATCCGAGGACATCATTCTGCTCAAAATCAATACATAACACACATTATCGCCCATGTCCACGCATTAATACTTCGGCAATAAGCTTATTTGCATTGACCATCGCGTTGAAAACAATTTGCATAGAGCGAGCCGCAAACGGCACTGATGTGGAATCAGGAAGTGAGTGATCAGTGCTCGCGTTGGCGGAGGGATACACAAAGTAATTCCCCCCCCCCCATTCTAGCCGCGGCAGTATACGCGCGTTCTGCCGCCAGTGGAGCTCCATCTAAGGGACGAGCACATTCCTAGTCTGCCGCCACACACCGACAAGCACACAATCCATCCAACATGGTATGTATTCTCATTCATTCTTTTCGTTCGGTGGGAAAACCGCATTGACTGAATTCTGGTGATGACATGTAGCCTAAATACAAGCGGCGTGGCGGGGAGACAAATCCGAAAGGATGTATTTTAGCGCCATCACTTACTCGTGAGCTATTTTGTATGCGGAGAGGCAGAAAACGCCCGCAAAAACGCTTTTTTGTGCGCCTTGTTGTTCATGTCCAACCTGCACGAGGATGTGTTCCGTTTCATTACAGGTGCATTCTTTTATGCGAACGGTCTAAAATCGGAACCGCATTTCCTTATAACTGCGCAATTGTAAAGGGCAATAAGAGCTATAGATGGAGGAAAGCCGAAAGCAAGTGAAGCCCCCCTTCCGGCTCTGTGCGCTTTATATTGCAATTTGGACGAGCGTAATAACGCGAGTTATTACGATATTATTCTGCAGCCTTAAGTACATCGAGTCCCGTTCTCCAATCCGCCTGCAGAGCGCAGGCGTTTTGGGACGCCTACCTTGTCGCTATTCGAGGCACACGCTGACATTATTCTCTTTTAGGACATACAGGAAGTGTGGGAGATGGCCCTCTTTTTGATTCCGTGGAACTTTGCCCAGGGAGTCTTCTTTTTCTTCGGGTTCTATTTTTTTCTCCTTCAGGCCTAACCGTGCAATGCCATGCCAGGCCATGATGAGGAAATGGCACTGGTGTAATTAATGGTTGAACTGACATGCATGACAGCGGTATAACTGCATTGCAGCCTGTTTGAGTCTTTTATGGCTCTGCGTTTTGCGTGGTATCTGTGACTGACTGCTTTTTTCACACATTCTGATGTATTGATTTGTTCAAGATGCTCTTTTTATCGTGATCAAAGCAGTGCTGCCTAGAAACGTGAATCGACACATTCCGCGGCTCCTTTATGTTACTTAAGTGTCCCTAATCTTCCCTTTTTTTTTTCAATTTATGGCATGAAGAAGCACCACAGCATTGTAAAGGTTGACAAGAGGACCAGGCTAACATCCGTTAATGGGAAGCACGGCCTTTGATGGTTATGTCACTCTGTAAAAGTCTTCAACATAGGCCTTTTAAGGCAAGCAGCTGTGTTTGGTGACTTAATCAAAACGGAGGCTTTGCTGCCGAGAATTAGACTTGTGGGTTATCTCCCAGCCTATCAACGAAGACAACTAAAAGTGTATTACGATGGTGTAATGATAACGAGCGATTACCAAAGTAGAAATAGCAAATCAAAGTTTGGAATGGTTTCCTGTGGTTATTCAATTGATGCCTGATGGTTCATTCATGGCCCGTGGGACTTAAGACGACCCTCTGCTGGAGTGATCAGATGTCCTATTTACGGTATTGGCTGTGATGCAGCTTCATGTTGCAGTGCAACACAGTGACTGGCGCGTGGATTGTTCTTGCTCGCCTCCCTTGAAAAGTTTAAGCCCTTTTCTGCATCGGTACATCCACTGGAGTGTCAACTGCCCTCGCGGTCAATACTGCGGTGCAAGCATTGACCACGCCGAGGCCTGATCTCATTTCTGCTGCGCTCTTGTTTCCCCGATGCGTGTTTTCTAACTTGACGGACATCTGATCCACCGCGATGAATAATTTACGCGCTTGGCGGCCAACACCTTGTCGTGTCCCATGTTCGTTCCCAGTTACTTGGCGCGAGCGGTGCGGAGGAGTACCCGGACACCGCGGCCATATGGTGGACCAGCCTTGTCCACAGGGTGTAGGGAAGCTGGTGTTGTTTACACCCCCCCCCCAGCCCCCACCCTCGACTCAGCCCATAAGGCCTCACTGTCTTTTGTGGGGCACACTTACAAAGCGTGTGTGTGTGTGTGTGTGTGTGTGGGTCAGGCTGAGCTGGTGTCAGAATGAATGGAGAGTTTGTGTGTGTCACACCCATCTGCCAGAGTGACAGCTGGCTTTGCACCTTTCAGTTGGTGAATAATGCCTCTCCATCACTGACACAGAAGCGTTGTTAAAAGATTCATTTCTAGCGTTTTGACCTCACCACGTGAACCCTGCGCCATCCTACGAGAGAGGGCAAGTGGGAAACATGAGTGGCTCCCCTGGCCCAGTGAACTACCTCTCGCCTGCCGCAGTCCTCGTCGGACTGCAATGCTGTGGTGCTGGCTGCTGAGGCAACAGTGGGTGTGGTTGACCCACTCATGCCAGCCAGCAGCCCCCCCCCCCTCCCCTCCACCCCTTTCAGTCACCAAGCACACAAACTGCAATATGTCGACGAATTGTGAATCACAGGGAGTTTCCTCCAAGCGGTACGTGGAGAGGAAAAAGCAGCGGAAATAACCAAAAGAGGGAAGGTCTCGCTGTGAGCTGAGGACCAGTCAGGGGGGGTGGAAATGAGAAAAGGAAGGGATGGGTTGGTGACAAATAGGCCCGGTCGCTGCAGCACTTGCGAAGACCTGACGGCTCGGACCGAATCCAAGGAAGGAGATCATAGCAGTGTGACTCACCAAACCCCACGCCCAGTCCACTCGGGGAGACGCGGCGGTAGCGGCGATGCATCGCGACAAAGTGGGGACGACAGTGGGAGGTCGAAAATACCTCCCAAAATGTGGTCAGACTTTTGTCTGTTCTAGGACATGTTCTAGAAATCTTGCAAGATTTCCGCACATCCCGTGACACTTAAGTTTGTTTGTTTTAACAAGACTACAAAAGGGCAGCGATTGCTAGACAACTTATTGCAATGGAAGAAAGTTTTAAACACGTCTTCGTCATGGCTTTTCAGAGCGATCGGGTTGAAGCGACCCAAAGTCGACATCATTAACGAACGGCAAAATGTAAATTGTTAAATTACCTTTCATTTGGGGTAATTGTTAAGACTCTCCTATTAGGCAATCATCTTTCCTCTGCACGTTTGTCAAGTGTCGTACGTAATTACACGCCACAAGTTCATAGTCCGCAATTACCGGTAGCTGTGTGACAGTTAACACTGTTCAAAAGCATCACTCATAAAGCTCGCTTGCCTTCAGCCACACCGTCCGTTCTTTAGACTTCACTACGCCTGTCTTTAAAATTGACCTCATTTTTATAGATGTATATTTAATTTTGTAGACATCTATTTGCAGATGTACGACAGGGAAGAATTTCAAAATACATGACAAAAGATTTTATGGTGTGAAAATTTGACTCTGGAAATAGATCATTTGACTTTGCGTAATTTCCGTTGGAAAAATGAGTTACGAAATCGAAACAAAGAATAGCTGGACCGCTATTGGTGTGCTTTATTACGAAGGCAGTGAGAAATTACCACAAGGGGGTGATAAAAACAGACGTGACAGAAATGCTAAAACAATGAACCATGAGTCAAGCTGGGTGACTTCAGTCGGCGTGTTTTTGCCTCTTAACATTTCCTTTCCGTCATACCGAGTAGAAGCAGGAAGTAGAAAAGGAAGCGCTGTTGTTTGCCAGAGTGCTTATTGAATCATGTCTGCTCATCGTATGAGGTTATTCGCGATCACCGACCGGCTCCCATCGATTCGTCCACTGTTTGCTACTCTGATCATGAGGAAAGGCATTTTGTTTTTCGCATAGCTGGGTGAAAAGGTCAATTTACGCTGTGTCATTCCGCGAGCGTCCCAATTGAACAATATCACCATTGTGTGATTGCTGAGAGGAAACATTTGCCCGCCCCCTCCCCTCCCGTCCCCACCACTTGTTTTAGTCATCATTTTATCATTGCCATTACTCTGGAATCCACCGGTGGTTCGTGATGACTTTTCTCAGCTTTTAACATTTCGAGCTTCTTCTGCAAGATGGTCAGAGATGACATCATGGACGAATGACGTCGCAGTGATGTCACGCTATCCCCGAAAGATAATTGCACTTATAAAGGACTTGTTGCCCTAAAACAGAAAACGAGTTGAGATGAAACAACAGTGCCGACTAGTGCGCCACTTTTTGCCTCAATTGTGTCAAGGCGCAATTGATCGATCAGCAGTTTGACACAATTCACGATCGATGAAGCTTTTTTTTTTTTTTAATGCTACTCTCAAATTGCTACGTTGCATTTACCAACATTGAACTTGTCAGTTCATGTCAGGTCTGCTGTGGTATTTCACTATTTGCAAGACTATTTGTCTTGCTAATTTACTGGCCAGGCATCCAAAAATAGCTTCAAACTTTGATTGTTTTTCCGCATCCCCGGGATTTGACGACGACCTGAATGCGCGTCTGTATCCGGAGCTAATTTGCAAGGTTCTCTTGTTTAAGTGCACCAAACTGCTGTGGGAATTGGCTCGGAGGCGGAACTGGTAACTGTGACTAATTCACTGGAGCCTTGGGAATGGAAAGTTTTGGTGTCAAGGAAGATTGCCAGTCGGAGATGTGTGTGTGTGCGTGTGCGCGCGCACATCTGTGACGTAATTGTGTGTGTGTTGCGGGGCGTCAATAACAACAAATGTTTTTCTAACGCGGTGGGGTATCAAGCTAGCAGCGGTTGCCCCACCCTGTCGGTCGGAAGACTGAATCCACGACCTCGCCGACCAATGTCAGGATGTCGGTTTCAAACTTGCTTCGTTGGTGGTTCCAGTCTGCCTCAACAAACCCGAGAACCCGCGTCAGCGCTAACGCACTCCACGTCGTGGCTCTCGGCAAATCCGCAAAATGCCTGCGATTGCTTACGCGGCAATCAAACTGTGACCAGGAAATGAGATGGACTCATAACGTCATTATAGCGCGATAAGGATCAAATCAATTTAGCACAGCCAGATCATGCGTTGAGGGAGGGGAAGTCATTTGTACTCAAAGGAAACGGCAATAGAATGTAAGTTATGGACTGGCACTAATCCATAGAGCAATGGGAGCTTGTTAATTGGGAATATAGTTACTGGTAAATCTTTGCATCCCCGCGCGCGCTATTTCAGGCCCAGCAGAGACCCGAACACAGTTTCCACTGTTGAAATGTGCGGTGGTGGGCGGGCGTGGATGATGTGGAATGTGATGACCGGTACATCTGGGATTTTGGAAAATGTGCGTGCTGAGTAACTTGTTTGTTCGCCACCCCCGCTCACCCCTCCCCCCTTTCCTTTTTCTCCATCCACAGGCCGACCAACTAACAGAGGAGCAGATTGCAGGTATGAACGCCGCCGTTGCAATTTAGTCAATGAAGCCTTTCTCTCACACCCGTTACGCAACGTGGCTCGGCGGTTATCACGGCACGCAGTAAAAAAAGGAATCACGAAGAAGGACTTTGCACTCTCTTAGCCAAGCTTTGCAAAAATGAGTGGCGGAAGTATAAGCAGTTGTTATGAAGCCACATCCATCCATCGCCAATACCGCTTATCCTCACTAAAATCGTGGAGCAAATGACACCCAAACAACTATTCACACCGGCAAACGATTTCAACTTTAAAATGCAAAGAAACTGGAGTACCTGGAACTCCCAACCTTTGAACCCTGAGATCAAACTACTCATCCACCATAGCTCATAACACCAAGCCACATCCATCCATCCATCCATCCATTTTCTAACGCGCTTATTACCCCCACAAGGGTCGCGGGCATGCCGGAGTGAATCCCAGCTGCCTTCGGTCAGCGGGCGGGGTACACCCTGAACCGGCTGCCAGCCAATCGCAGGGCACACATAGACCAACAACCATTCGCGCTCGCAGTCACACCTACCGACAATTTAGAGCGCTACATGAACCTGCCATGCGTGTTTTGGGAATGTGAGAGGGAACCGGAGTACCCGGAGAAAACCCACGCAGGCACGGGGAGAACATGCAAACTCCACACACAGGAAGGCCGGAGCCGGAATCGAACCCTGCACCTCGATGCTGCGAGACCGGCGTGCTAAGCAGTCCTCCACCGTGCCGCCCACAAAGCCACAATGAAAAGCAAGATTTGAAGGCCTACAATTGGGTCCATTCACAACAAATAGTGTCGGCTTGAGTTCTGAATACAGATGCTGCCCACCCCCTCATCAAACTCACTCTGTGGCTAATTGGATTTTGCGAAAGCTTCAAGGTTAATACTTAATAGTCTGTGGTTTATATTCATTGACTCGCCAACGGTTTAAGAAGCTCGCCATTGAATTGACCTTTTTCCTTAAAAATGGGCGATTTATTCACAGACGTCTCTGTTAGTTATCTCTCAACAAATCCGTATCTTCAACAACGGGTGGGTGACTAATGTTGTCGTCCCTCTGCCCTCTCCCCCAGAGTTCAAGGAGGCCTTCTCCTTATTCGACAAGGATGGCGACGGCACCATCACCACCAAAGAACTTGGCACCGTCATGAGGTCGCTGGGACAGAACCCCACAGAAGCCGAGCTGCAGGACATGATCAATGAGGTGGACGCCGATGGTCAGTACGCCCTTTTTCAAATCCATTTCTTCAAATGATTGACGTGTCAAAGCGATGAATCATCACGATATGGTATGAAGGGCATCAAAAAGGCTTCGGCACTGCAAATGCGTCGGAATCGACGTTTTGTGCCGCCGCCCTTTTCCTCGGGGTGTGTGACAAGTACCGACTTCAAGAAGAATGCGCGGATTTTGCCGCTTCGTTCATAGTCCGCAAACGCAATGCTAAACAGAAAACCACGTTAAGACTCGCGGGGCCGCCTGGAATATATTCTCGGAAAGAAATGTGTTGACTTGACTTCCCCTTGCAGTGGAGGAGAGCGAGTCAAGTCTCTGCATAAGGCAAGTCAAAAGAAGGGTGACCAAAGTACACGTTGCGATGAGAAAGGACATCAAAGGGGCAGGGGCTCAAAGTTCAACCGTTGCTGACTTTTCCTCCTTCTCTGTCGCGAATGAAAGGCAAGAAGAGAAGACGAGGCTGGCCTTGGCCAAGTCGCTTTTAAAGTCGGTCGCCGTCAGTGTTCTCAGAAGAATCCAAAACCGAATGATGGTTGGCCGATTTTTAAAACACATCGCACTGAATTCCCCAGAACAACGGGGAGAATTGATGAAACTCACTGACTGTTTGCAAAGTCAGACATCTTTATTTCAAGAACGCAATCTTGACCTCTACTTCACCTTAAATGCAGCAAAGCAAAGCAAAATGTAACGGAAAGTCAGAGCCGGCCGAATGGCCCAACCGAGCCTCAGCGCATGAAACACAAGAAAGTAGCTGCGGCTTAATGCTTCTTAATGAGCAAGCATGTCGAGAGAAAGTCACCCTGGCGAATGTAAAACGGGAAAAGTTTTGCAGGGACCTTGACGCGCTAACTTGGCTAGCTAGCTGTTGTCAGCGTGTTGGGTAGCAGCCGAATTAAGAGTCCTTCAAACAAGCCGGAACTGGATTTTTTTTTCGAGACACAACAGTGGAGGCCACACAATCCGTTTATTGCGGTCACCCCGACTTTCCATGGCAAGTGAGCCTTTTAAGCACACTGGATTTTTCACACGAGTTTCTGACAGGTTCTCGTGAGAACACGTTGACCTCCGCCGTGCTCTGTCAGCTTCTAGGACGTATGAAATGGGACCACATCGATGAGGGGGGGGAAATCAATTGCGCCACAGGTTGGCCGCCAGAGAGTCCTCTCGCCATCCTCAACGCCCCCGCCCCCCCTTTCGCTTCCACCCAAAAGCAGCAAGCAAGCATTTACGCGCGCACACACATCACCATCATCATCACCACCAACCTCCCCTCGTTGTGCCTCTGCCTCCCTGGGCTGATGCAATCTAGGTCAGACAGCAATGAAGCTAGTAATGGAAAATAAAAGTGGTTACATAAGCCCTCTGGCTTCACTTTGCACATCCAGTACCCACATCGGAAGCCGGCCCATTGAAAATCCCCTTTATTCACCGAAGTTAATAGCCAACGTGGTTCCTCGTCCGCTACGCGGATTGTCAACCCCCCCCCTTCTACGCGGAAATTCACCAATTGCGAGGCGGCTTGCAACGTTTCACCCCCGGAAAAGCGTCTCCTTGCAATGTATGCACATACGTTTCAGATGGAACTTGTTTTTTCTTTCGGGTCCAAGTGCATGGATCTGACACTTAATCAACCTTTGCGGCAGTCAAACGTTCAAAGACCCGACTGGAAAACGGCGTTCTTTGATTGCAGTGCCATAAAAGGCACGCGCGCGTCATGCGTCTTTGTCAAAGGGCTTCGCCAAAGGCTCGCGATGCAGGAGCAAAAACAACGAGCGCACATTCAAGAGGAAAGAGAAGCGGCAGCCTTGGATAGTTTGCGTCAGCGCGCCTCTTATGTGTAATCACACCATCTCCCACTCGGTTCACTCCTTCCACTCTGCTCTTCGCATCTCCATCTCCACCTCCCTCTCCAACGCCCACTGCCCCCCCCCCACATCCCCTCCCCTCTCCCTTAACGCTCACTTTTCCTTTGCTTCCCTCCCACCGCGATCCGCCGCTCTTCCTCTCAGTCTTCACATCCTCCTTTGCGTCCGCGTCGCCGCCGCGGTGCTTTTGGGGAGCTTTTTGCCCCGAGGGCTGCCTCGATTCTGCACTCGACGTCCTCTGCCTTTTCCCCCCCGCTCGCCGTCCCTCCCTTGTCGCGGAGCGAGTTCTCTCGATACCGCCGGCTATCTTCCGTGTTAGATAACGGGGTCCTTGGATTGTTACCCTGGGCCACGAGATCACCATCTGCCCTCTCACATTACCGCATCCCTTTTTGGTCCCCCTATACACACACACACACACACACACATCTAGATTTCCATCAGTGGCTCGCTTTATCTCAAGGCGTTCCTCGGTCATTGTCTAATCTGCACAATCCCCTCGCCCGTCTGTCCCACCCGAGGGCTAATCCCTCTGGGTGCTTTGCCCCGAGTGTCCCCGACCTTGAGATGTAATTCCCTCAGACCTTTTTGTTTTTTAATTGAGTTTTAAAATCATATCACATTCCTGCATTAAGGCCGATCGTGAAAAAAAAGCAACTTCTCGAAAGAATCCAACAACAGGGAACTCCTCTCCCGATCAAAGAATATTCATTCTGGTGCACGGCCACATTCGCCACCGGCATAGCATCCATCATGAAGACTGACCAACACATCGAGGCCTTCGTTTCCTTCCGTTGACCTGTGCACGTGCGCTCGCCGCAAAAATATGCCGCATCTTCATTTTTGTGTCGGCATCAATCTAGTTTTCAAAAATAGGCTTTTGCTGTCGTGACCGGAGCAAATTCATGCATCCATTTGCTATCGCGCTTCTTTCCCCTTCCTGCTTTTTTTTTGTGTCCTTCTTCCACATGGCCCTCGCTGGGTTTTCCCACCAGGAGACTCGAGCGTTTTGATTTATACAGCCTTCCAGCTGTTTCACGCTCTGTCTACATTATGGATGAGTGGCTGTGGGTCTCCCCGAACCGAACCAACCCCCCCCGCGATCCTGCAGCGCCGTGTAACATATGCAGCATCTTTGCAGGGCTTCCCCTTAGAAAGACACGCACGGTCGCTCTCACGCCACCGAAGCCAGAAACACCCCCTCGACCCACCCCACCTTTTCAGTCCGCCAAAAACGGGAGCCGAATGCTGAAATGAAGGCTTTCATTTTGGAGCTTGCCATCAGCTTAACGTTGGCCGACGACATCTACTTAGCTGAATTTGCTTTTATGTAATTGCCATTTGGATTAAATGGTGACTCATTGATCATTCCAGGTAATGGAACCATTGACTTCCCAGAGTTTTTGACCATGATGGCAAGGAAAATGAAGGACACAGACAGCGAGGAGGAGATCCGCGAGGCTTTCCGGGTATTTGACAAGGTAAATATTGTCAAGGCAGATAGATAAAAAAAAAAAAAAAAAAAAACTCAACGGATGACTAAATCAAAGATTGGCTTAAGAGCCTCCGAAGAGCCACGACTAATACTAAATCTTAATCCTCTTTTGGACAATAAAGCCGCTCCATATTTTCTTCCATTTTCACGTGCGACGCCGCCATTGTTTTGCGCAGGACGGAAACGGCTACATCAGCGCCGCGGAGCTCCGTCACGTCATGACGAACCTTGGCGAGAAGCTAACGGACGAGGAGGTGGACGAGATGATCAGAGAAGCAGACATCGACGGAGACGGACAGGTCAACTACGAAGGTAAACCCCATCGTCAAACGACCACGCTGACATCACCTGCCCCGTTGGAACCCAAGTGCTGTCGTAGCAACTAAGCTATGCCAGTACGCTCAAGAAAATCTTAAGCCATGAATATGAAACAAATGAGAAAAACGCAACTGCCTGGCGTTCGCATGCAGCACATAAGTTAGAGTTGTCAGTCTGGTCTACGTTTTGACTAAATGTGCGCTTGGTGCACTTGACATGATATCACTCATGGTTATTGTCGTTTTGTTTTGTCCATTAAATGAATTGCCCTACTTTTCAACAATCTCCAAAGCTCCCTTCATCCATGAATTTGCTCCTCCCTGTGTTCCCCGCTCGCATTTAATATGGATGAGCAGGGTGGCTGTGTGAAAGGGGGGGGCGGGGCTCTAATTTGCCCGAAATCAAGTCCATATAAAATGTTATTTTCATTCCGATGAATATCATTAAATTAACCTCAATAAACGGAAATGACAAAAGGATTCAACACATTTTCTGATACGTTTGTTCCTTTCTTTCTCTCTGCAGAGTTTGTACAGATGATGACCGCAAAGTGAAGCTTGCCCACCCCATTCTGTCCCCTCTTAGAAGAAAAGAAAAAAGGAAAAAAAAAAACCCAAATCTTTTGCTTACCTCTTGGAGAAAAAAAAGTTCATTTATTCATACTGTTTCTGTATAGAAAATAATTGAATGTTGAAATACAATATCCTTCTGTCCACACAGGGAAAAAAAAAATAGACAAAAATATCTGCATGATAAAGATGGTTAGTGATCCTTCCCCTCCCTTCCCTCCAACCTCCCCCCCTCCCTCTGGAAATCAATTTAGCATCAGTACTGAACAAATAACATCCACCCTGTAACGACTACTTTCAGACACAAGCATAGAAGTTGGTGTCCAGTTCTATTTGCTTGTGGTAAATGTCTGGGCTGGTCATTTCCTCTATCGCTCTCTTTTTCTGTTCTTTGTGCATGCAAGCTTGAGACCGGAGCACATACCCAATACCCCCAAATCCCAACCCTCCCCCGGGCTACCAGAGCGTGCTGATTCCACTATACGCTATCCTCTTGATGGTTTGGTACAGTTTTTTTGTATTTGGAGAGAGGAACCCTGTCATGTTAAGATGAGAGAATATTCCAAGTTCTGACTCATTAAGCATAAAGTGGAATGGGACTTAATTGTATGCTAGCTAAAATTGAAAAAAAAATGTAAAAAAAAGATTAAAAAAAAAATTGGCATGTTCTTTTTATTTTGTTTAATGGATGACCATCTTAGTAGTTGTGTGTCCTGCCCTTTAAACGAAGGAAGGGGGAGGGGGGACTTCAAGAGTCTTACGGTGAGCTTTCTTTGATTTTTTTTTCTTTCATTCTTACGCTAAGATGGAGTGTCTGTCCTGTTTTCTTTTGCAAGAGAGAATCACTGGCCTTCACTTTTTTTTTTTCTCTTCTGTTTCTCGACTCGGAATGAGCGGCGCGCTGCGTTCGCGGCGCGCGCTGTCGAGGGGCACGCCGCCGCTCTTCATCTGAGTTCAGTTTACATTCATTCCAAGTTGTACATGCTATAGTTTTTTTTGTTTGTTTTGTTTTTTTTTTTCAAATAAAAACCATGAACTTTATTGTCTTTTGTCATTATTTTTTCAATCATTTCTTTCTATCCTTGGTTGCAACGAATAGAAAAAGTAAAATGTATTTTTGTCCGCTAATGAGACTGATGTGTCGATAATAAACGAGTGTAAGCATCTGCACGTGCACTGTCATTGGGGCGGGGCCACTGGCGCGTCACTCCGTGCTCGTTTGCATGGCACCCACACACACATGCACACAAGCTTCACTCCTGCAAAAAGTGGATGGTTGCTAGGCAACAGGAGCATGCTGTAACTGGGATGTCAGGTTTTTTTTTTCTTCCTAAAGCCGGTGGGAGTTGGAAGAAAGCTTTAGTTATTGACACCACGTTGGCTCAGATGGTAAGACAAAGCTGGCAATGTCACGCGGTGAAGGCAGGAGGGCGTTTGATTTGGCCACTAAGACCTCCCTACTTCAAGGGCTAAGAAATCAGCAAAGATCTGCATTGCTCTGCTATATTGGGACCACATTTGACACACACATACACTGGACTCATAACCACTATTTTTAGCACAAATTTGTACCTCTGCCAATGTAGTACTGTTTCATTTTCAGCCTTAACTGCCTGCAAATGGAATACCGGAACATTTTTTTTACGCCATATTGAAGTGAGGAAAAGAAACCTTCCCCATTCTCTTCCCAAATTTGGAAACACAACAGTCCATTTCTCTTAAGGTTCGTGTTTTGTGTAAGAGATCCGATTATTTCAATCAATGAAAATGTGCGTCTGACATCACTGTCTGGATTTCAACATACAGACTCGTTATCGGTGCGGACAAGCTTTTATCAAGTTGCAGGGGAGGCCAAAGGTCCACGAGGAACCTCAAATCTACGGCCTCTTCCTGCAGCCAGGAAACCAGACAACCAATCCCACTAAAGGAAGGTGTCTTGAAACATGGAGGAGAGGAAGAGACACCTGAGCAGCCTGCCGGTTAAATTAAGACCATGAATATTTCAAGTGTAAATTAAGCGGCGCACTGCGGAGGCCGTAATGTGAGAAGGACCAGCCGAGTCCGCATATCATGTGTCACGCCCAAACCGCACCCACCTTGGAGCAAACGAACACAGCGACCAAGATTTTTTTTACATCAGGGTCACCAACCTTTTTATTTTTATGGGCCTTGGAGGGCCGTTTTCACTACGTTGTGTTCACGCGAGGCCCTCCATCACAACGCGCACAGCATCCAAACAAACCGAGTGAAGCCCTAAATCAGCCTTGGTGTCTTTTTCACGTCAATCCTTCTGACTCTGTGGCCGCTTCGGTCTTTATTTTCGGTTTCCCGATCTCTGTGGGCGCCATCGATAGCCATCTGCATTTTTTTTTTTTTTGATGGACTCCACTCACTCATTGCGTTCTTTTTCTCTACTGCCCATCAGCGTCACAGTCTTTGAGCATCTATGTCAGGCCTCATTCGATTTCCCAAGAAGAATCGTCTCATCCATCTTTGATTGTAAAATATGACGAAGGTGTCACGACAACCGAGCCGCCGCACACCTCATGCAATATTCAGAGGCGATGATATAAGATGACTGCTAATGGAAAAAAAAAATAAAAATAACAGCATGCTATACACACACACACACACACACACACACACGCACACACACACACACACACACACACACACACACACACACACACACACACACACACA